TCCTGGTTCATCACACATCATCGAGCACCGCCAAAATCCCAAATCTGTGATGGTTTGGGCTGGAATTTGTTCATCCGGCAAAACACCTCTGATTTTTGTGGATAAGGGGGTTAAAATCAATAGGGAAGTTTACCGTCGTAACCTTTTTTGGAGGCTGTGGTACTTCCTTGGGCCCAAGAGCATTTTGGCGAACAGGAATGAACATTCCAACAGGACTCCGCTCCTGCTCACAGGGCTTCAGAAGTTCAAGACTGGCGCAAAGAAAATTTTCCGAACGTTATCACAGCTTCAGAATGGCCACCGTACTCACCAGATCTTAATCCCATGGATTACAGCATTTGGTCAATTTCGGAGACCAGGGCTTGTGCTAAGCCACACAAAAGTTTGGACTCCCTAAAGCAATCACTGCGCCGTGAATGGGATCTTATTACGCTAGAGGAGCTGCGGCGTGTGGCCGAAAATTTTATAAAACGTTTAAAGCTCTGCGTTGGTGCCAAGGGAGGGCACTTTGAAGTCGGTTTAAATACAAATTAGTAATGCCTAGTACTATTGTAATTATACCTAAGTTGTTTCTTTAAATTTTTCTAAAATTATAGAAAAATATGCAAAAATGCTTGTCCCCGTCATTTATTGTCACCCTGTAATCCCCAAGCGCGTTATGCATTATTTCGGATTTGAACNAAATGTCGAACAAAAGAAGTGCTATTTTGGAATTGCATCGCCAAGAAATGCGACAATGTGAAATTGTTCGGTTGCTCAATGTTCCTCGTAAACTGTTTCCAAAGCAATCCAGTGGTTCAATGAACTTGGCCATGAAGGTGATCGCCTCGGGACGTGGAAGAAAACGAACTGTCAATACACCAAGGATCCCCCAGATAATTAAAAAGCGAGTTCAGCGAAATTCAAGGCTTTCAATGAGAAAAATTGCCCGCGAAACTGGTATTGGTCGTGAAACTGTTCGTCTAATTGCGAAAAAGGAGCTTCACATTAAGCCGTACAAAATTCCAAGAGCGCAGTTGCTTACGGATGAAAACAAAAAAGTACGACTGGAAAGATGTCGACAAATCTTGCGTCGTGCCGCAAATGCTCGCTGGGATAAAATTCTTTTCACTGATGAGAAACTGTGTACCATTGAGCAAGTGCACAGCCGTCAAAATGATAGGATCTGGTCGGCACAAGCTCCTGGTTCATCACACATCATCGAGCACCGCCAAAATCTCAAATCTGTGATGGTTTGGGCTGGAATTTGTTCATCCGGCAAAACACCTCTGATTTTTGTGGATCAGGGAGTTAAAATCAACAGGGAAGTTTACCGTCGTAACATTTTGGAGGCTGTGGTACTTCCTTGGGCCCAAGAGCATTTTGGCGAACAGGAATGGACATTCCAACAGGACTCGGCTCCTGCTCACAGGACATCGGAGTTCAAGACTGGTGCAAAGAAAATTTTCCGAACGTTATCACAGCTTCAGAATGGCCACCGTACTCACTAGAACTTAATCCCATGGATTACAGCATTTGGTCAATTTCGGAGACCAGGGCTTGTGCTAAGCCACACAAAAGTTTGGACTCCCTAAAGCAATCACTGCGCCGTGAATGGGATCTTATTTCGCTAGAGGAGCTGCGGCGTGTGGCCGAAAATTTTATAAAACGTTTAAAGCTCTGCGTTGGTGCCAAGGGAGGGCACTTTGAAGTCGGTTTAAATACAAATTAGTAATGCCTAGTACTATTGTAATTATACCTAAGTTGTTTCTTTAAATTTTTCTAAAATTATAGAAAAATATGCAAAAATGCTTGTCCCCGTCATTTATTGTCACCCTGTAATCCCCAAGCGCGTTATGCATTATTTCGGATTTGAACCGGAACTGTGCATGTATGCATTACTTCGTTTTTCTTATATGCATTACTTCGGTTTTGAGTCGAAACTGTACATGTATGCATTACTTCGTTTTTATCATATGCATTATTTTNAAAAAAGTACGACTGGAAAGATGTCGACAAATCTTGCGTCGTGCCGCAAATGCTCGCTGGGATAAAATTCTTTTCACTGATGAGAAACTGTGTACCATTGAGCAAGTGCACAGCCGTCAAAATGATAGGATCTGGTCGGCACAAGCTCCTGGTTCATCACACATCATCGAGCACCGCCAAAATCTCAAATCTGTGATGGTTTGGGCTGGAATTTGTTCATCCGGCAAAACACCTCTGATTTTTGTGGATCAGGGAGTTAAAATCAACAGGGAAGTTTACCGTCGTAACATTTTGGAGGCTGTGGTACTTCCTTGGGCCCAAGAGCATTTTGGCGAACAGGAATGGACATTCCAACAGGACTCGGCTCCTGCTCACAGGACATCAGAGTTCAAGACTGGTGCAAAGAAAATTTTCCGAACGTTATCACAGCTTCAGAATGGCCACCGTACTCACTAGAACTTAATCCCATGGATTACAGCATTTGGTCAATTTCGGAGACCAGGGCTTGTGCTAAGCCACACAAAAGTTTGGACTCCCTAAAGCAATCACTGCGCCGTGAATGGGATCTTATTTCGCTAGAGGAGCTGCGGCGTGTGGCCGAAAATTTTATAAAACGTTTAAAGCTCTGCGTTGGTGCCAAGGGAGGGCACTTTGAAGTCGGTTTAAATACAAATTAGTAATGCCTAGTACTATTGTAATTATACCTAAGTTGTTTCTTTAAATTTTTCTAAAATTATAGAAAAATATGCAAAAATGCTTGTCCCCGTCATTTATTGTCACCCTGTAATCCCCAAGCGCGTTATGCATTATTTCGGATTTGAACCGGAACTGTGCATGTATGCATTACTTCGTTTTTCTTATATGCATTACTTCGGTTTTGAGTCGAAACTGTACATGTATGCATTACTTCGTTTTTATCATATGCATTATTTTGGTTTTCAAACGAAAGTGTGCATATGCATAATTTCGGTTTTTCTAATATGCATTATTGCGGTTTTCAATTGAAACTGTGCATATATCCATTATTTCGTTTTTTTCATATGCTTTATTTCGGCTTTCAACCGAAACTGTGCATATATGCATTATTTCGGGGTTTTTCTTATGCATTTCGGTTTTTTTCATATGCATTATTTCGTATGCACAGTTTAAAAGGCTTTAAGCCAGCTTCAAGTCCGATGGGGATAGCTGAACGTACGAAACATCGTCTCCCCAGACGTTGGAATGGCGTCCGGGAAGTGTCCTGTAGTCCTGTTCACTACCTGAAAAAGTCCCATTAGTTAGCCTAATAGCCAGCCTGGTCCCTGTGCTGTCTCTCGCCAAGGCTTTATGAAGTCTGGCAGCTGCAAGAGTAGATGTTCTCACAGAAGGTCCTTAAGCAGCTACGCTTAGCCTTTCCTATCTCCTTATTGTATTTTGTCTGACTGACTGATCACTCCTCCCAGTCCCAGTAAGTACTGAGAGTTCCCGTGACCACCAGAGGGCGGAGACTTTCCCTTTGGCCTTGGCACGGGACAGCTGGAATTAAAGGCATCCAAAATCCATACAATCAACCTTTCTATGTTGTGCCTCTAACCTGGTTGGGTTCAACCTAAGTACTTCCTCGTGTTTAATCCAGTCTGTTTTCCTGGGGTTGCTCTTGGGGTAATCCGTTCTAACCTCAGCTCCCAGTGCGAATTCTCCCAGTGCGAATCGGATAATCCTATGATCAGACAGTGAGGACTCAGATGAGACCCACTACTTAGAGATCAGAGGGCTGGCCAATCTGCTGCTGAGAGTAATGTCGAGTGCTTCCTCTCTGACCCTAGTGTTGAACGTTGGTTAATTTCCAACATTGTGAATGCATAGGTTTTCGCTAATTATATATTCTAGAAGGCACTCACCCCTACGGTTTTTGTCCGAGCTGCCCCACTCCATGTTGTGGGCGTTCGCATCCCAGCCAAGAATAGCAGGAAGTTGCAGAATTCTAAAAGCGGTTCTGTATCAGTAGAATTCGCTGGGTGTATAACATGGGCCCCTTCCANCACTCCATGTTGTGGGCGTTCGCATCCCAGCCAAGAATAGCAGGAAGTTGTCTCCTGCGGCAGAATTCTAAAAGCGGTTCTGTATCAGTAGAATTCGCTGGGTGTATAACATGGGCCCCTTCCTCCCCTCAATATCAGGTGCCTTTTCTGCCAGCCAGGCTGTCGTCCGCTCATCCTCGCAGTCCACAAGGAGCATACCTCACCTAAAATAAACCCACAAAACACCAGTGGGTGCCTTCACCCTTTAAGGACCTCGTCCATGATATCATCCTGGAGTCTGGTTAGGTCCTCAGTTCACAGGGAAGCAGGAGGGTAATCACAGGGAAGCACAGCCACCCGGATACCTTTTAGAGCATCAGAATAGCTGGGCTGCTGAGTGGTTCCTTCCCGTGGCTGACTCTGGCCCTCAGACACATCCAGGCCCCCTATACTTTGTTGTTGTTGTTGTTTCAGTGGCTACCACAACCCCGCCGATATCGGCTGGTATCTCAGTCGTTGTCGTCAAGCTCTACTAACGGAAGACCCAAGAAGCGTACAGCCTCCATAGGCTCTATCCACAGGAACAGAGGCGTTAGTTGTGTGTGCGCGCAGGAGCGGCGCCTGTTGCCTGGCTGATGCCTGCTCTTCGATCGACGCCGACCCTCGGATCGGCGCCGGCTCTCGGAGCCGTCACGACTTCCGGAACCACGCGGGCTTTCCGATCGGTGCCTGCTTGTGGAGCGGTGTCTGTTCTTAGGGCTCACCGCCTCTGCTACCTTAGAGTCTTCACACCGGTGCTGTGCCTGGTCCACGCCGCCACTGCTAGTAAGTACCTGGCTTTTCTTCTCTGGCGGGTTCAATAAAAAGGGCGGCCTCCTCATCAGTTAGAGCCTCAAGGAAGCTACCTTTGCGCTTGGAACCTTTACCACTGCTCGGCTTATTACAGCCGAGCATATGCGTTTCTGGTTTTGGTGCTACTGCCACTGCTGCTTCCGTGGCTGTCGCTGCTGTTGTAGCTGTTGCAGTTACTTCTGTAGTCGCTACCGCTGCACTTGGTTTTGCTGCAGTTGTTAACGCTGTTTTTGTTGATTTTGTGTTTTGCTGTCTTCATCTTGTTCGTACGACTGCCTGCTCGACGAGGCGAGATCAGCAGTCAAAATAGTAGCAGGGGATCTCATCTGGTAAGCCGCGGTAAGACCACCGTTACTCGTCGATGCGGCCCGGTGTCGTTATAATACAGCCGGTTTATTCCCTCCTGGCTGCAAACTGTCCAATAGACATGGTGTCGCGTCACACCCTGGTTTAGGAGGTGACAGTTTTTGGTCACTGTTCACCGGCAGCCCAAATCTGGAGAAAAGCGCAGAAGCTGCAAAGCGCGTCCGCGATACCCCAGACTAGAGAGGGGCCTGTCGGTGATTCAGCTAAGCCCCCGCACCAACAAGATGCCTGCCCTAGCGAGGGTAATCGCTAAGCAAACGCTGGTTTATTTGCAAAAAATCGTGAAAAATGTTGTATTTGTAACGTAAAAAATAATGCTTAAATTCGCTGATCAATAATCATTACTCAAAATATCTAAATTTAATTTGCATTCACGTACATATGTGCTTTTATTGTAGTGGCGCAATTTTAGGCTCACCCTGACTTTCATGTAATGACCCCTGTCTCACTAAATGTGTTTAACTCTTTTTTCAATGCTCCGTTATTTTCACCGACCGTTAACCGTTTGTCTGTTCTAAATCACGCTGAGCAAACCAACCCCTTTACATATACTCAAAGGTGACTCACTTCAAAACGCTAACGGTGGAACTTGAGGGATGCTCAGTGCGCTAATCCTTGCAACTCCTCAGAGAATGCTTAAAACTAAGTTGACAACGAAAAAACGTGGCGCTCTAATGCTGGCGCTTGAACTTGCAGTGCTGGAGCTTGTCTGTTGCCACAACGCTAGTGGTGGAGCCGGTGAAATGCTGAATGCTCAACTTGAAATTATGTATCGACTCGACGCTGGAACTTGTGCACTGGTGGTTATTTATGTATGCCACACCTTGATGGTGGAACTTATAGTACACTAGCGCTTATGTATGAATGTCATCTTGATTGTGGAACTTGCAAAATGCCGCATTACTACGTAGCTTGCAAAACTTTGGCTAAATGCTGACCAAATTACTGCTAAATGTCGGCTAATTCGCATAAGCGGGTGCTGCTCAATTATGGTGGTGAAAGAAAAAAAACGATGTTTCTTTGATTCGTGGCACAGGCGATAAATAAAAACCCCCCAATGTTTCTGCTGTGATGTACAAGCCAAGCCTCGCCAACATGAAGGAATTCCAGTCTGTTTTCCGATTATGTAAAGTACTATGTATGGGTTTGGCAGCAAAATTGATATTGAGTACGAATAAAACAGGGGAATGATCAGAAGACTAGTCGAAACAAGAGCTAGATGTTACTTCTGAGGATGCAATGCCTGATGGCCAGTATGTAGGTTTCCGGACGAGAGCGGAAATAAATTTAGCTTTCTGATTGCA